AGAACAGCAAAGAGATTGCAGATAACTTCCTCCTGCATGCTCCTGAATGCTCAGATTGAACTTTTAGAAATTAGGAAGAAGCGTATAATCCATCAGGTGACTAGAAATTTCTGCAAAGGCTCAAGAAATATGAGAAATTTAGATAATACCACCCCCTCCCCCAAAGGAAAAGAATAACTCCTCTTCATCCACAGTCAGTTCAACAGAAATCATGGAAATGCCTGATAAAGAATTTAGAATATTCATAGTGATGAAATTAACAGAGATACAATAGAAGAGAGACAATGAATTCCAGAAGAGGCAGGAGAATAGAGCTGAGGAGTTCCAGGAGGCGAGGAAGTTCTTGCATGATCTGAAAGAGGAAAGACACACCACAAAAAAGAATCAAACAGAACTATTAGAGATGAAGGTTGTAATACAGGAAATAAAAACCTCCTTTGAAAGTATTAAAAGTAGACTAGATCATACAGAAGATCAAATATCAGATGTAGAAAACAGAATTGCTGGCCTAAGAAAATCCAACACAAAGACTGAGAAAATAGCCCCCAAATGAGAATAATATACGAGAAATACTAGACACCATCAAACGTCCAAACATCTGGATAATCAGTATCCCAGAAGGTAGAGACTAATAAGGGCACTGATAATCTTTTCCATAAAATTCTGGAAGAAAACTTTTCAAACCCAGAGAGGCATTCAAAGATCCAGACCCAAGAAATACACAGGACCCCAAATAGAATCAACCCCAGGAGATTTTTTTCCAAGACACATTATAGCCAATTGACCAAAGTCACAGGTGTTACTAACACCTGTTAATTTCTTTCTTTCCAAAGACAAGGTACTCAGACTGGCAAGAGAGAAAAGACAAGTTACCTACAAAGGATATCGTATCAGGCTATCAGTGGACCTCTCATCGAAAACAATGCAAGCAAAGAAAGAATGGGAAAATATGTTCAAAGTTTTGGGTGAAAAACAACTTCAATCAAGAATACTATACCAAGCAAGATTATCCTTCATATGGGAAGAGAAGGCAAGAACATTCTCAGATAAACAAAACCTGAAAGAATTTATCAACACCAGACCAGCTCTCCAAGAAGTTCTGAAGGGAGAGTTATATCAGGAAAACTAAAGTCAGACACACAGAAATGAGTTAAACAACACCTAAGAAAAGGGCCAGCTTAATGGTAGGGACAAGTCTAGAGTTGAATATTATCTTCCAGAATTTAAATGGAAATCTTGGACCACAAGAGAAGTTAGATTAAGTGCATGAGATTGAGCTGATGAAATAGAATTTTATGGCTTTGGAATCAAACAATACTGATCTTTTTCTATGCTTTGTAGTCCAGAAATAAGGATTTTTTTCTTCTCTTGAATTGTCGACAGATCCAGGTAACTACTATTTGAAAAGAATCCTAACCTGTTTCCTGGCTTTAAGTCTTAAGCAAAGTTCTCTTAACATTTTTTTATTTTTATTTATTATAGCTAAAACTGCCTTTTTTGAAATTAAAAAACATTAAAAATTCTATTTCATAAAATAAAAATCAAAAGTCATCCTAATGGGACCTTGAAATACACAAATTCTATATACTTTTCCCTATCTGCCATTTGCCTTCTTGTTTTCATAAATTTTAATTTACATATCTACTTTCTAAATTTAAAAAATTGTGCTAAGATACATATATAATTTACCACATTAACCATGGTGTATCCATCGTGGTTTTGATTAGTAATGATTAATGATGTTGAACATTTTTTCATGAACTTATTGGCCATGTGTATATCTTCTCTAGAGAAATTCTATTTAAGTCCTTTGCCCAGTTTTGAATGGAGGTTTTGTGTTTTTTATTGTTGTTGTTGAGTTTTAGAAATTCTCCCTATATTATTGGATATTAATTAGTTATCAGATACATGACTTGCAAATATTTTACCCATTCTGTGGGTTGTCTTTCACTCTGTTGATATTGTCCTCAGATACACAAATTTTTATATTTTCATTAAGTCTATTTGTCTACTTTTTCCTTCTGTTTGTGTCTTTGGTGCTATATCCAAGAAATCATTGTCGAATCTGGTGTCATGAATTCCCACACTGTCTTTTCCTCTAGTGTTAGGTTTAAAATTTAAGTCTTTCAATCATTTTGAGTTAATTTTTCTATATGGCATTATGGAATGTCCAACTTCATCCTTTTGTACATGGATATATAGTTTTTCCAGAACCATTGGTTATAAAGAACATCCTTTCCTCCTTGAATAATGTTTACATCCTTGTCAAAATTTACTTGACTATACATGTGAGGGTTTCTTTCTTTCTTTTCTTTTCTTTTTTTTTTTTTTTTGAGAAGTTTTGGTATAGGGCAAGTGCGCTTGCCAGAAAGAGAGAGAGAGAGACAGAGAGACAGAAAGCGAGAATCACTCCCCAGGGGAGATGGCCACACCACAATCCCTTCTCCTCCATTCTCCTCTTGGAATTTTGTGCACACATGCACACGTGCCTGGCATGAGTTTAAGCCATTGGGTCCGGAACTTGAACCATGATCGACTACATGGGAGTTCAGCAACATAGCCATTATGCTATCTGTTGCTCCCCTGAGGGTTTATTTCTGGGCTCTCTATTGTATTCTATTGGTTTAAATGTCTGTCTTAATGTCAATATCACACTGTTTATTTTATTTTTTTGAAGAGAGATTTTTGCTACAGGGTATGTGTGCTCACCAGAGAGGTAGAGAAAGAAAGACAGAAAGTGAGAAATGATCTTCTGGGGGTATGGAGGGAATGACCATGCTCCCCTGAGGGTTTATTTCTGGGCTCTCTATTGTATTCTATTGGTTTAAATGTCTGTCTTAATGTCAATATCACACTGTTTATTTTATTTTTTTGAAGAGAGATTTTTGCTACAGGGTATGTGTGCTCACCAGAGAGGTAGAGAAAGAAAGACAGAAAGTGAGAAATGATCTTCTGGGGGTATGGAGGGAATGACCATGCTACAATCCCTTCTCCTCCATTCTCCTCTCAGGATTTTGGGCATGCAGGCACGCACACACACCCCATGTGACTTTCAAGCTGCTGGACCTAGGAGTCGAACCATCGTCAACTACACAGGAGTCCAGCAATGTAACCTTTATGCCATCTGCTGGTCCCAGTATTAAACTGTTTTGATTACTGTAGCTTTGCAGTAAGTTTTGAATTCAGAATTTAGGAAGTGACATCTTCACTCTTGTTTTTATTTATTTATTTATTTTTTTATAGAGGTTTTTGCTATAGGGCATGTGTGCTTGCCAGAGAGACAGAGAGACAGAAAGCGAGAAATCACCCCCCTAGGGGGGATGGCCATGCCATCTTGTCCATTCTCCTCTCGGGATCTTGGGCACACACGCACATGTACCTGCCGTGAGTCTAAGCCACCAGGTCCAGGACTCGAACCGCAGTCAACTACATGGGAGTCCAGCAACATAGCCATTACACCAACTGCTGGTCCCTCACCTTTGTTCTTTTTCAAGGTTTTTTGGCTATTCAGATTCCCTTCTAATTTAATAAAAATTTTAGGATAAATTTTTGAATTTCCACAAAAAATTATTAGGATCTCATTAGGGACTATACTGAATCTATAGTTCACTTTGGGTAGTATTAATCTCTTAATAATATAAAATGTCAAATTTGACTTGACTATATATGTGAGGGTTTCTTTCTTTCTTTCTTTTCCTTTCTTTTCTTTTCTTTTTTTTTTTTTTTTTTGGAGAGGTTTTTGTTATAGGGCACATGCACTTGCCAGAAAGACAGAGAGAGACAGACAGAAGGCGAGAAATCACTCCCCAGGGGGAATGGCCACGCTGCAATCCCTCCATTCTCCTCTTGGGATTTTGTGCAAGCATGCACATGTACGCAAATCCATGAACATGGGATAGTTCCTTCTTTTACATCTTTTTAATTTATAATTTTCCTTGTACATGTCTTTCATCTTCTTGATTTATCCCTAAGTATTTTATTTCTTTTGGTGTTATTATAAATGAAATTCATTTCATAACTTCCTTTTGGGATTGTTAATATATGTAAATGTACCTGTGCAAAATATCAAAGAGCCAATCCTAAATCTTTTGGATGGATCAAAAAGTGTCAGTAAAATAACAAATGCAGTCTTAGTATTCTAAAGTATTTTCTCAAAAACCTGTCGGGTCTGTCATTCAATGTTGTAAACAAGGAAAGGAAATAAAAGAAAATTAGAAATAGAGCTTCACATATTTCTAAGCTGAATATATGGAAAAATATTAATAAAAAAAGGAACATATTTGAGAAACTCAACAACCCTGTAATAATTTTACTCTAACTGCGAATAGGATAGAGTTTGTTCTCAAAATGATGCAGAATTTCAGAGATGGAAGACTTTTATAACTTAATAAGCAAAATATGTATTTTGTCATGTATAGTGAATATTACATTTCAGTTGCAGGATACAAAAATCAATCCTCAAAAATCTATGGTATTTTTACACACCAACAATGAACAGACTGAGGCAGAATTTAAAAAAGGAATGCCAATATAAAAACCACAGAAAAAGAGAAATACATAGGAATAAATCTAACAAAGAAGTGAAAAACTTCCACAAGAACAACTATGAAAAACTAAAGAAACAAACTGAATATGATACAAAAGAGGGAAAGGTATCCTTTGTTCTTAGATCAGGAGAATCAATATAATAAGGAATCTTTCTTCCTTTTTTTCTTCCTAAGAAATATTTTTGCTATTGGATGTGTGTACTTACTGGAGAGATAGAGAGAGACAGAGATACAGAAAGCAAGAAATCATTCCCCAGGGGGATGACCACACTGCAATCCCTTCTCCTCTATTCTCTTGGAATTTTGGGCATTGGTGTACACATGCCTGGCATGAGTTTTAAACTGACCGGTCCAGGACTCGAATGGGAGTTGACTACGTGGGAGTCCTGGGATTTAACCATCATGCCATGTGCTGGTCCCAGGAGTCTTTTTAAAAAGTATATTATTACTCACTTCATGAAGACTTCTTCCATAGTACTAACTGAAGCACCAAAGCTGGCAATGCCCAGCTCTTTCTGTTTCTTTTCTAGATCATTAAATAGAGCTTCAAACCTGGAGGAAGAAAAGGAATAGGAAAAGAAACAATTAGCATTAGTCTAGATAAATTCACTTTTTTAAAAGTTCATTTTATTTTTCAGTAAATAAAACTTTCAAAAAATATGAACAGCTACTTCTTTTCATTTGATACTTAATTTTATTCTATTATTTTCTTTAAAATATTTTATTATGGTAGAATGTATATATCATAAAATTTACTATTTTAAATCATTTTAAGAGCACAATTAAAGTGTCATTAAACACATTCACAATGTTATGCAATCATTACCACTATCCATTTCCAGAAAAATTTTACCATTTCAAGTAGAAATTTTCTACCCATTAAAAAAGTAACAATTATTTCTTCTGCCTCATTCTCACTTTCTGTCTTTATGAATTTGCCTACTCTGTACAGAATACAGAATTAATCCTTTTGTGTCTGTCTTATTTCTCTTAGTATCATTCTTTCTAGGTTCACCCATGTTGTAGTGTGTGTTGGGATTTTACTTTTTTTTTTTTGGAGAGGTTTTTCACTATAGGGCACGTGCACTCATCAGACAGACAGAGAGAGACAGAGAGACAGAAAGCGAGAAATCACCCCCCAGGGGGGATGGCCATGCCGCAATCCCTTCTCCTCCATTCTTCTCTCGGGATCTTGGGCACGCACACACATGCGCCCTGTGTGAGTTTTAAGCCACCGGGTCCGGGATGCAAACCACAGTCGATTACGTGGGAGTCCAGCGACATAGCCATTATGCTAACTGCTGGTCCCGGGATTTTACTTTTTTTTTTAAAGAGCTTATTTCTCCCATGAGAGAGAGACAGAAAGAGAGAGAAAAAAAAAAAAAAGCAGGCCGTTCAAACAATCTTTGCAGTCTACATCCAGCCTCTTGTAGCCTGGATCACCGACATGCATGTGAGCTCAGCATGTACAAAGGAGCTCTGGGAGACGAATCCAGGGCCTTTCCCTGTGGGTCTAGCATGACAGCATTGCCTTACTACTGTCCTACCAGGTGGAGCAGGATTTCATTCCCTTTTGGGGCTGGTACTGATATTATTAATTATATAGATTTCCCACATGTTGCTTATTCACTCATCAAGCAACAGGCTTTTGGGTTGTTTCCATGTTTTGGCTATTATCAATAATGTTACTTTGAACACTGGGGTACAAATACCTGATCAAGCCCCTGCTTTCAATTGTTTTAGGTACACAGTAAGAAGCAGAACTGCTGATCATATTGTTATTCTATGTTTAACTTTTTTGAGAAACAAAAAGTTCACAGCAGATGCAGTTTTACATTTCTATCAGCAATGCCATAAGAGGACCAGCAGATAGTGTAATGGCTATGTTGCTGGACTTCCATGTAGTCCACTATGGTTAGAGTCCTGGACCTGGTGGCTTAAACTTGAGGTGGAACTGGCAGGTGGCATGGTAGTTAAGGGCACTGGACTCCACATGGCTGACTGTGGTTTGTGTCCTGGACCTGGCGATTTGTTTTCTCACTTTCCTTCTCTCTCACTCTGTCCCTCTCTGGTCAAATAAAAAAAAAATTAAATAATCAGGACCAGCAGTTAGCGTAATGGCTATATCACTGGACTCCCATGTAATCAATGGCAGTTCGAGTCCCAGACCCAGTGGCTTAGACTTACGCCGAGTGCATGTGCATGTGCGCCCAAGATCCTGAGAGGAGAATGGAAAAGAAGGGATTGCAGCATGGCCATTCCCCCTGGGGGGTGATTTCTTGCTTTCTGTCTGTCTCTGTCTTTCTGGCTAGCACACGTGCCCTACAGCGAAAACCTCTCCAAAATAAGAAAAAAGCAATGCCATAAGGATTCCAATTTCACCATTTCCTTACCACCAATGTTTGAATGTCTTTGTTTCAATTTGCCTTTCACAAATGATTACTGATGCCAAGAATCTTTTTATGTACTTATTGGCCATTTGTGTATCTTTGGAGAAATGTCTATCCTTGCCCTTTGCCAATTTGGTTGTCTGTTTTGTTGTTATTGTTAGGTGAATTTTAAATATTGTGTAGCTTTTAATCTGTGTGACTAGTTGTTTATCTCGCAGAGCTTCTTCCTTTTTCTCTCTTCCATGTCCAAAATATTAGTGTAAAAATATTATATAGTATCTTCTTCTAAATCCGTATATTTTCTATTTCAATTTAATATTAACGATATAGCAATTATTCCTGGTATCATCTGATAATGTCATTTTTACAGAAATGATATGGGATGGACATATGATATGGAATATAGTTAAATAACCTATTTTCCTACATATTTCTTTCAGTGACACTCTGTACTTGCAAATTTATAACTACTGCTCTGCTAATGTATGCATCCAACCATGTCTTCTAACTGATGAGTGAGGCTTCACATGAATTCCCAATTGTAGTTTCTTTCCTTTCTTTTACTCTCTGGTACCATGTTTTTTTCATCTTCCCTCATGACTAAGCTCAAGGTTCTCCCCATCTGTCTCAACTGTTCCATGTTCCTGCTTCTCAAGAAGGTTCAGGTTTATTCTCTGAATGATTATAGCTCCAATGGGGCATTTCTTTTTTTATTCCAACTCTGGGATACAACTGTTTATTTTCATCTCTCTTTATTTGGTAATGTTGGTTGCCTAGCTCCCTCTATGTTATTTCCTTTATTCTATTCAGGAACTCTGTATCAGATGAAAATGCTTAATGATCTCCTACAAATTTTCATCCCATCTTGCATTTGGCAGACATCATACATCTAAGGGATATCTAGCTAGTAATGACTTCAGGCAAGATGAAAATGGCGTATTTCCTGAAGGTCAAAATGATGAGTACTTTTAGTTTCCATTTCTCTTAACTAGGATGGACATCTCAAGTAGAATTATCTCTAAGTGTTTATAACCAATTTGGCTAAGGTCAAACTCCATTTTCTCTCTCCTTGTCACCTCTGTTCCAAGAATTCCATTAAACAACTTTTTACTTTAACCATCTTAATATTTCTCTAGATCCTTCTCATGATGCAGAAAATTTGTACAACACAAACATCCTATTAGTTACCCTTTATTAGCATTAAAAAGCTATAACCTCTAGGTTACAGATCTCCTACCTCAAAAACAAGCAAATAAACAGAAAGCAAAAATGAGCCTCAAATGAACTTGAACTTCTAAGGCATTCCTCTGTTCAATGAGAAAAACCTTCAGCTCTGAGGTTCCCAATTGTAGTTGGCAAATGACAGTTGTCACTGGATGGTTGGCTTGCTAGAAAAACATTACTAAGTTTGTTAAACCTAGAAAATTAAAAATGATTTCTGGTCACCCAAAAACTATCCATATAGAATTCTTTGGATTTGTACCTTTCTGTATATTCTTTGGATAAGATAAATGACAACTCAGTACCAATATTCCTTTCCAAAGTGGCATTAGGAACATGAGAGTGAATCATTGCAGAGACCTTTTCAACAACACAGTGTGGTTCCTTGTCCATGACTATTTGATATCCAGCACCTAGAGAAATCATTAAGAAATAAAGAAATCGTATACTTTTTAATACCCATTTTTCCATCCCATCAGGATTTGGGGCATGCATGCACTTGCACCCAACATAGTTCTCAAGTCACTAGGACTGGGATTTGAACCTCGGTGGGCCATGGGGGATCTAGTTCCCAATGCACAGTGCTTAGCCACTGTGCTCAAGGGTCAGCTCTTCACTGGTAATTACTAGTTTAGTAAACGAGAAACTAGGATCAGAAATGTCTGATTTCTCTACTTCCTCTTCTCATCAATTAATTACCTAATCAAAATCTATTTAAAGGCACAACTGCATTCCAGAGATAAACAAAACCGCCAATAATTTGAAAATGAGACAAATAAGCGTGGCCTTTGTAGGTCAATTAAAATATTTCCTGAGTCTGAAGGTATGTGTTGGGGAATTAGTGTTAAGTATATAAGGGAATATCTAGATTGCAAAGGGCCTTAAAAACAAATTACAATGGGCTTAACTGAGGTGGTCCTATGCTCCACAGAATGGAACCATGTGGGTGGCATAGGTTTGATTCCTGGTCCAACCTAAAGGCTGAGCATAGTGGTGAATGCCTGTTATCCCAGAGACCTGATAGGCTGAGGCAGGAGGATTGGCAGCTTGAGGTTAGCCTGGGCAACATAGTGAAAACTGTCAAAAAAAAGAGCCAGACATAGTAGTGCATGCCTTCATTCCCAACTGGGAGGCTGAGGGAGGAGGATCATTAAAGCAAGGCCCTGTCTTAAACAAAACAAACAAAACAAAACAAAGGACAGTTACAATAGTTAAGACCTAATTAATAGGATGTGGGGGGCACTGGTGTTTTGCATGTATAGACAAGATAAAATGAAAATCATGTGGGACCAGCAGTTAGCATAATGGCTATGTCGCTGAACTCTCATGTCGTCGACCGTGGTTCGAGTCCTGAACCCAGTGGCTTAAACTCACCCTCGGTGTGTGTGGGTGCATGCCCAAGATCCCGAGAGAAGAATGGAGGAGAAGGGATTGCAGCGTGGCCATCCCTCCTGGGGGTGATTTCTCACTTTCTGTCTCTCTCTCTCTTTCTGGCGAGCACACGTGCCCTAGAGCAAAAACCTCTAAAAAAATTCATATTAGAAAAATCTTATTAAGGCAACAATATTCTAAAAATTATCAAAGGGAGAGAGACCATATATTCGTTTCAGGAAGACTGAAGAGCCACAGCAACGCAGGGTCCCCCAGACCATGATGGCAATGCGGTCACCCAGGATGTCAGCTTCATCCATGTAGTGGGTGGTCAGTAAGATGGTACGATTGTGTTTATATCGCTGCAGGAGATCCCAGGTGGCTCTCCTTGAGACTGGATCCAAGCCAGATGATGGTTCATCAAGTATCACCACCTAAAGCCAAAAGATCAATCCCAGGACTATTGATAACTGATGCTATGCTACTTGTGGGATTACTTTCTAATAGAGGGGAACATATTTAAACTCAGATACAGAAACTAGACTAAAATGAGGTAAGATTAAAAGAGAGATAAAACTTGAGAAAAATAATCCCATACCAGTTACAACAGTTAAGCCAATAATGTGAATCCCTTCTGATTATCACCGGCAACATCCCTTTTAGAGTCATATCAACTTTCAGGTTTTCGCTAGCTGAGTTTCTTAAATAGTTGGTAGGAATCCACTGAGTACTTCCCAACCGCCTGTGTGTCCACTCCTCCTACCCCCTTTTTCTCCTTTAATACCTTGGAGCCCCCAATAAGTGCTATAATGATGGAGAGTTTGCGCTTCATTCCTCCACTCAGTGACTGTGAAAGTACATCACGATGTTCGAGAAGGTTAAAAATAGTCAGCATGTGGTCAAGTTCAACAGAACTTATCTTCTGAGGTATTCCTTTTATCTAAAAAGAGGAGCCAGAATTTACATAGTACATGCCACTTTATCCCTAGAAAGTTTTTATATCAGAACTTTTCTCACACAGCTATATAGATACATACAGTTTCTTGGAAATATGTATTTAGACATATTTTATATCAGCTTATTCTTACATAAGAAAATAGTGCCTTTTTTTTTTTTTTGGGTCACCTTTCACATATAAGTAAGAATTCTTCAGGGAAAAAAACCCCTCGAATTTATAGATATGTGAAGCCCATCAACAGAGGAGGAGAGAAAGCATTTCTCTAGCTTCTAAGTAAGATGGCATAAACACATATACCCCTGTATCTCCCACTGAACTCAATGATTAAACCTGGAGAATTGCAAAAAGTAAAGTTGGATCAGGAAGAACAGAATTTGAAGTATCATAGAACCAGTGGGGAGTTTACTATCTTTTCCATGTGTATCTCCTAAACCAAACTCAAATCCTAGAAGTGAGCACTATAGTCCAAGCAGAGTGAGATGAAGGAGAAACCCTCTAGTTCTGGTATAGAAGTAGAAAAGGGGACTCATTAAACTCAGAGGGATTGATTCAGTGAGATCATATAACAATTGGAAATATATCTGTAGCTAACACTGGGGCACACAAATACAGAAAACAAGTATTACTAAACCTAAAAGGAGAGATATACTCCAACAAAATAATAGTTGGGAATTTCAATATCCCACTTTTAGCAATGACTAGATCATCTACAATGAAAATCAACAATATCAAATTTCAACTGCACTATAGCCCCATGAGCCTAAGAGATTTACGGAACTTTTTAACTAACAGCTACTGAATACGTATTCTTCTCATTATTACACAGAACATTATCCAGGATAAAAATGTAGAAGAAACTCAAACAACTCAAGCCCCCACCTCCCCGCCCCCCAAAATCTGGTTAAAATATGAGTCAATGGTCTGAATAGACATTTCTCAAAAGAAGACATTTTATATGTCTTCGTTTTTGTAGAGAGCAACAATTACATGAAAAACACTCAACATACCAATTATCAGGGAAATGCAAATTAAAACCACAAGGTATCATCTCAATCGTTAGAATACCTAGTCTCAAAAAGACAGAAAAGCGTTATGTAGAAAAGAATGGCGGTTTCTCAAAAACTAAACATGGGGGACCAGCAGATGGCATAGTAGTTATATCACTGTAATCACACTGTACTCATGACAGTGGTTTGAGTCCTGGACCCGGTGGCTTGAAAATCACACTGGGTACATGTGTGCAAGGGCAGGATACCAGAAGGAGAATAGAGGAGAAGGGACTGTGGTGTGTCCATTCCTTCAAGGAGTGATTTCTTACTCTCCCTCTCACTGTCTCTGTCTCTTTAGTGAGCTCACATACCCTAAGGCAAAAACCTCTCAAACCCCCCCAAACCTATAAAACTAAAAATAGGTTTACTATATGATCCTGGAATCCCACTATTGCTTATATATCCAAAAACAAGCAAATAAATCAATAGGTGTTGAAGAGATATCTGCATACCCATGTTTAATGTGGTACTAGTCACAATAGCCAAGCTATGAAATCAACCTAAGTGTCCAAGAGCCAATAATGGATAAAAAAAGTGTGTGCATGCATGCACATGTGCACACACATGTGTGCAATAGAATGCTATTTAGCTATCAAAAATAGTGAAATCACCCTGTGGCAACATGGATGACTCTGGAGGGAATTAGGCTAAGTGAAATAAACCAGGTGCAGAAAAATACATACTGCAAGTTCTCACAAATATGTGGAAGCTAAAAAAATTGATTTATAGAAGTAGAGATCAGAAAGGAGATGATAGAGGCTGAGAATGGTAGGGAGGAATGGAAATAAGGAGAGGTTGGCCAATGAGTACAAAATTATAACTAGATAAGAGGAATAAGTTCTAGGGTGACTACAGTTAACAATAATTTATTATATATTTCAAAATAGCTTGAAGAGAGAATTTTGAAGCTCCTAAGACAAGGAAATGAAAAATGTTTTTGGTGATGTATTTGCTAATTACCTGATTTGATTAATACGCATTATATAAATGTATCAAAATATTACATTGTACCCCACAAATATGAATAATTATTATGCACCAATTAAAAATAACATGAAAAACTTAAAAATGCAGTTAAATAATTTCTTATAGAGAAAATCATAATAATAAATGCTTAAGAAACAAAAATGGGGGGCCAGTTGGTGGCATGACCGTTAAAGGCACTGGGTTTCCACATGGCTGACCTCAGTTCGAGTCCTGAACCTGGCAGCTTGCTTTCTCACTCTCCCTTTCTCTCTCTCTCTCTGTCGCTCCCTAGTCAAATTAAAAAATAATAACGAATAAATTAAATAAATAAATCTTTAAAAATAATGAAACAAAAATGCTGGCCAGCAGTTGGCATAATGGCTATGTCACTGGACTCCCATGGAGTCGATCGTGGTTCGAGTCCCAGACCCGGTGGTTTAAACTCACGCCAGGTGCACGTGTGTGCGTGCCCAAGATCCTGAGAGAAGAATGAAGGAGAAGGCATTGTGACATGGCCATTCCCCGGGGGGCTGATTTCTCACTTTTTGTCTCTATCTTTCTGCAAGTGCACATGACTTATAGCAAAAACCTCTCTCAAAAAAAAAAAAAAAAAAAGCCCAGTCAGCCTCAGCCATGTAGCAGGGTAGTTAAAGCACCTGGATCCCACATGGCTATGCAGTTCAAATTTTGGATGTGGCAGCTTGAAAAACACACTGGGGAAAAAAAAAGAAAAACACACTGGGTGCATGTGCATGCATGCCCCAAATCCCAAGAGGCTATAATGAGGAGGAGGGACTGCAGCATGGTCATCCCCACTAGGATATGCTTTATCACTGTCTCTTTTTCTCTCTTTCTCTCTCTGTCTCCAGTGAGCACACATACCCTATAGCAAATGTAAAATAATAATAACTGCCTCGAATCAATCATTCAAGCTTTGACTTTAATAAATTAGAAAAAGGTTAAAAATATCCCAAATAAAACAAAATGAAAACTAAAACAACAGAGAAAAATCAATGAACCCCAAAATTGGTTCTTTGAAAAGATGATAAAAATTGATAAATCTCGGGGCCAGCAGGTGGTGTGATGGTGAAGGTGTTGGATTTTCCACATGGCCAACTGTGGTTGCAGTGGTCAGGACCAGAGGCTTGAAAATCATGCCAGTTGTGTGTGCATGCATATGTGCCCAAAATCCTGAAAGGAGAATGGAGGAGAAGGGATTGCTGTGTGGCCATTCCACCTTGGGGGGGTGATTTCTCACTTCCTCTCTCTCTCTCTCTCTCTGTCTGTCTCTGCTGAGTGCAAGCACCCTATGGCAAAAAACAAATAAAAAAAGATGAGTTTCTAGCAACAATGACAGATTTTTAAAAAGTATAAATTAGTGATATTGAGAACAGAAAGGATATGGCTATGGATTTCACACAAGTTGAAAGATAATAAGAGAATAAAAGAAATAGTTCTATAATATGAGGGTACTTCAAAAGTTAACAGAAAAATTATATATATATATTTTTTTTTAAATTTAAATTTATTCATTTATGTTCATTCACTGTACATCATTACAGCATACAAAATGAGATTTTCCATCCAGAGTACACTGTCTATTGTCTCAATCAAGCACATCAACATACATGTTATT